GCAGACGGTGACCCGAGACGTCCCCGGGGAGCGCGCGGGGGCGGCCCGCAGACCCTGCTGCCCCCAACCCGGGCTCGGCCAGCCTTGACCGCCTCTTCTGGAGCTCTCCGACCCAGTCCACAACTGGCACTCCTGCCAGTAGCCTCCCTCCCATCCTGGAGTGCCTGCCTACCCCCATCTCCAGACTGTGCCCCTTAGAGCCCCTTTTCATCCATTCCTTCACCAATCAATCATTTATTGAGCACCAGATGTGGAACCCCAGGGAGAGGGATCCAGAGGTGAGGCTGGGAGATGCAAAGGAAAGCAGTGTGTCTCTGAGATCTCAGGTGCATCCTTGGGCCTGCTCCCTCAGCCTAGTCTTCCTGAGCTCATCCAGGGTGACTGTCAGGGTGGGAGAGCAGGCCCAGACATGCCAGGCACGGGAAGGCATGCAGGGACAGACCACACAGGTGTGAGCACAGCTGACACGTCTCTGAGGAAGTACATCCTTGTGCACACATCCATGTCCTCAGGCAAGCACCCGAAGCCAGCAACAGATACATACAACAGGGTACATTCTCAAAAGCGCATGCGCAGGACAGGGGCTTGCACAGATGCTGACATCTTGACCACAAACGTGCACGGACAGTGTATGTGTTCACTTACAGCACAGCCAGAGGAAGGACACCAAGACCTGTGCAAAAACATCCGTAGACACACAGGCCTGCACCATGGGCTCCATTTGGATACAGCTGTCATATCTAAGACAGCATGGCTGGGGCAAGGGTCTGGTTTAGGAAGGGTTAACCTGTGAGGTCAAAGGTCGGTGGTGAATCAGCTGGGGCTCCCCCAGACTCCCTGCAAGAGTGGCCAGAGCTTCGGGGAGGAATGTGTCTGTTCCCAGCTGCAGGTCAGACACAGGAGGGGCTGCCCTGCTGGGACATGCCTTACCTTTGGCCAGCCATGAGCTGGCGGCAGGCCATGCCGTCTCCGTCTCAGGAGTAGAGATGTTTCCGAGCCCAGTCTGTTCACTGACCTTAACATATGCCATTTAAAGGAGAAAGAGATAGGACCTAGGGTCAACCTTAGGTTCTCCCGTGGGTGTGCAGACTTGGGGCACCCACAGGGCACACGCTGCCAGAGAGCACTGGTTACATGATACTCACCTGCTGTGTTACACAGAAGTTGGCACACACACACACTTTCTCAGACACAAATACAATGACACAAATGAGCTCAACACACAGGGTGCACTGGGTACACTGATGTCGTACAGAGGAGGTTGCTGGTCTGGCAACATGGGTCGGAGTCTGGCTACCACTGGTTCTGCTTGCTTGGCCCCTCTTGAGGAGGAACGAAGACACCCACTTGCTGGCATCACTGGGGACAGAGAGCAGCACCTGCCCCAGAGCAGCCTGCCGGGGGCTGTGGACCCTTCTTGGCCCGGGTTATGCTGAGGTAGGCTGACACAGGTGGTAAGGACGGCAGACTCTGCAGGAGCCTGCGATTTGGGTCCTCCTGGCTAGCCACTGAATGACCCAGTCTTCTCTGCCCTTCTTTGGACCTTAGTTTCTCCATCTGAAAAATGAGATAGGGGCTCAAAATCTGTGGGTTCCCTTTGGCCCAGAGGAGAGCAGTCAGGGTAAGATGTGGCTACATGTGCCCTGGTCAGCACAGGGAGGCAGGCCTGGCACACCCTAGATGCTTTCTCCATAAATGGGCCCAGAGTGCAGGACCTGGGGGGTCCACTCCAAGGTAGGGCCAAGTAAAGGGCAGGAGCAGAGTCTTCCAGGGCCCCTAGGGACAAAAGAATCTATCCCAGTGAATGGGCATGAGGGCTGGTGTCACCCCTTTCTCTCCCTGTCGACATTGCCAGCCTACTGCCTGGACGTGGCTTGGGGTGGAAACGGGGTTGGGGGGACCCCCGGACGCAGCTGGTGCCCTGCTGGGTGGATGTGGGTGCCAAAGCCCCATGTGGTCCTCATCCCTCATGGCACAAGCCTCTGCAGCACCAGTCACCCCCTCTTTCAGATGTCAGGTCAGGGAGATGACCAGAGTGGAGTAGTAGAGCGGGGTGCAGCACGCCGACTCAGCTCCAGTCCCATTACACCCCTATGTCCCAGGAATGTGCCAGCAGGGGCTGAGTGTGAGAGACGAGGAGACCCTTACCTGAGAGTGTAGGGTTTCCTATGTGCTCGTGTGTGTCCATACTGTGTGCTTATGTGGGAATGTGCTTCCCTCCTCCTGTGACCACAGTCTTGCTGTCCACATCAGCTCATAGTCAGCGTAGATCCCACATGAAGGCCTTAGGGACCCACGCTCCTCATTGTGGGGGTATAGGCCCTGGAGGGTCAATCCCAACTCGGCTGGTCACATGTTTACTCTTTGCATGGTCAGCTGTCTTGGCCTGGGCAGACCTGTGACCACAGTCCTGATAGAGACATTAGGATGTGCTGTCCTCAGAGTCATAGGGCAGCGGTCAGGCTCCCATGGGGGGGAGTGGGTACTGGGGGAGGAGTGGGCTTGGATGTGGGAGGGGCCTTGGAGTTGAGCATGATGAGCATGATGGGGCAGAATGGGCTCCCGTGGGCTCTCTGCCAGGACTGCCAGGTGGAAGTTGAAGGAGAAGAGGGGACATTCAGGTGGGGACCCTCAGCACAGAAAGCCTGGAGGCAGAGGGAAACTGGAGGTGAGGGGTCAGTTGGTGGAGGGCTAGGAGGGTGGGTGGCTACAGCTGCTGTCTCCAGGCCCAGCTCTGAAAGACTCCCAGGCTGCACAGGGAGTCCAGACTGGCTCTGGGAGCAACTGTTAATATGTTGGACTTCCTGCAGAGTGTGAGCTCCCTATGAGCAGGACTTTTGTTTTCTGACATACCCACGTGTCAGCATTTGAGGGCTGCATACAGGGGTCCATCCTGGTGTGGCCCACTCAGCCCAGCTTGGCCTCCCTGACCTGGGGAAGCCCCATCCCTGCTCACCTCTTCTCCCAGCACCTGTCCACTGGGCTTCTGCCCAGGCAGGACTCTGAATACCCTCCTGTCCCCAGAAGATTCTTAAGAGTTTGGCCACAGGCATCCTCTTCATCAGAGAGAGAGAGAGAAAGTTCTCAAGCCTCTTGGCAAGGCCTCATCCACTATGCTGCAGCAGGATTGCAACTCTGCGCCTGCCTACGCTGGGAGGAGGGGTGGTCTGGGTGTACCTCACACACAGTCCCACCGTCAGGGTCACCAGGAAGACCAACAGTCACTTTGACAGCATGGATTTGTCACATCAAGACGTAGCAAGCCGAGGTGGTCAGTGAGTTTCACGATTTCACGAGTCCAGCCCAGGCTGGCTGTTTGAGGTCATCGACTTGGCCTGACCCCATCCAAGGCCCGGTCCTCCTGGCCAGTGGGCCCATTCCTCCAAGGGCTGGTTGAGTTGGTGACATTCCTGTGGGGCGCACTGAATGCGTTAACATCTGTGAGTGCCTGTCTGGGTGTGAGTTTCCTTTATTTTTATTATTTTTAAAGATTTACTTATTTGGTGGGGGGAGGGACAGAGAGGGAGAGGGGAAGCAGACTCCATGCTGAGTGGGGAGCACAATGCGGGTGCCCAATCTCATGACCCTGAGATCCACCTGAGCCGAAACCAAGAGTCAGACACTCAACCAACTGAGCCACCCAGGCACCCCTGGGTGTGAGGGTTCCTTTATTACTGCAACCCACTAAGTCCTCCATGGGGTCAACTCATCTTCTGTGCAGAGTGGCCCCGCACACTGTGCCATGAGAACAGGAACTTTGTGATGTCCAACCGTTTGAAGTTATGCACGGTGCCCCAGGTGCAGTCTCAGAAGTGGGTAGGCTGAAGAGCACAGCCTGGTACGGGCTGAGACCCTGAGCAGAGCCCATCGGCAGAGGCCAGACCCACACCTACCTCCGGCAGGGGAGGGGCAGCAATTCCAGGGCTCTGTCCAAGGCCACAACCTGGCACTTTCTCCGGGGCATTTAACAGTCCCAGGTTGGCCTTGGGGGCCTTCCCACCTGCAGACTGGCCAGGCTGCTTGGAGGCCTGGGGGAAGTGGGAGCAGAAGAGGCAACTGGAGGGACTGGGGCTGGTCTGAGGGGGTTTTACCTCTGCATAGAGGAATATGGGCATCCCCAAATGTGGAGTCCTCATGCCCTGCTCAGGACAAAGGATCCTGACCTTTGATGCTCTGTGTACATGCAGATGCTAACAGATGTCAGCGTGCTATAGACCCCTTCCAGGAGAACAGACAGACCATTCTTCCAGACTGGGTGGCCTTGCCAAAATATGAGTCTGCCACATGTTGGCAGTTGAGTAACTGTGTGTCTAAGGTCCAGCAGGTATATGTGGGCTCCTGAGCTCCTGGGGCCTCAGAGACATGACAGGGTGATTCATGACTGGTGAGGGGCAAAGCCAGAACTCCTGCTGGGTTATCCCATCTTCCATCCAGGAACATGGTCCTCAGCAAATTGTCAGCTTCTGCTTGATACCGTGATTTTGGCCTCAATACATTGGGATTTTTCTTAGTGCTTCTAGTTGACGCCTTGCTATGTATTAGATGAGCTTCACTCATGGGCACATGCCCTGAGACCAACCCCTCAGATCAGCCTCACCTCTCATTCCTGCCTCACCCACCCCTCAAACATAGGCTGGGTTGAGGGGTAGATGGGTGGGGGGATGGACTGATGGGTGAATGAGTGGATGATGGGTGACTGGGTAAGTGGGTGGGTTCTACACTAGGCACTCTTCTCTTTCATAAGTACTTCTGTGGTTTCCTTTACAGACTATGAACCTGAATCTCTAGCTTCAGTCCAGACACTCAAGATAAGTAGGTGGTAGCAGGCCAACATTACCACCATGCACAGAGAGCATAGAACCTGGATCCCTGGTGCTTTTAGAGACTACAAAAACATTTTACTTTTAATTTCCCTTAAAACCAGAAGGAAAAAAATAATATAATAGCCTGCCCTATGCATCCACCCCACAGCCCCCTGAGTTTTTTTCCTACCACCATGCTGTCATCCCCATCTCGCTCGCAGTCCCTCAGAGAGCAGGCACCATACTCCTCCCCACTAGCCAATCAGCAAACCTCATATGTGCTCCCTTCTAGATCCATTTCCTTCAAATACCTAGTCTGGCCCCTCTCACCTATGATATTTCTGTGATACTCCCAGACTCTGCCCCCACTCATCCAGTACCTGATGGGCACATCTGGCCAACTTGCTCTCCAGGGGCTCCTTTGGGAACAGTCTGGGACCCTTGGCCTCCAGGCCTTGCCTCCGCCCCTGGGCTCAACTTCCTGTTTCCCTGTCTTCTTCAGTGTCTGAGCATGGCTGAGTTGTTGTCTTTGCCCAGGAGCGTCACTCCCTAATATCACTATTCTGTGGCCCCGTTACCACTTGTGTAGCAACTTCTGCATTTGGGAGTCCTTTCCTCCATTGAAAATTTTTAAATTGTATTTTATAACTCTATTGATATAAAGACAAATATAATCCATGGTAGATATATTATTTAATATTCATTATTATTATATTATTTTTTTTCCTTCTGGTTTTAAGGGAAATGAAAGTAAAATGTTTTTGTGGTCTCTAAAAGCACCAGGGATCCAGTTTCTATGCTCTCTGTGCATGGTGGTAATGTTGGCCCTGCTACCACCTACTTATCTTCAAGACTTACAGCAGCAACCCCTCCTCCAAGAAGCCTCCCTGGATTACCTTCCTTTCCTGTCAGGGTGTCCTGCACCCCAGAACACCAGCACATACCCTGGACCCACAGGTTTCTTACTGTGTTGCTGAGGCCCTGGGCAGACGAGGGTGCTCAGAAGGGCCAAGAGGAGCCCCCCTGGGGATGCTGATTTGGGTGACTTCACTGAGAAGTGATTCTGGCAGGCTGGTACAGAAGCTGAGCTGGAAGTGGCAGTGGCAGAGGGAGGTGGTGTTGACAGAGACTGAGATTTTGAAGAAAGACCTGACCTCTAG